TCTCCAGAGATAAGCGAACCGAGCGGCCTAAAGCAGTTCCTCTGTTCACAAACAAACAACATGTTTTCTATTTTATTCAGCACCTCGCTGACGAGCAGAAGAACGGTTAGCGACGATGAAGTGTGAACGCCGGCAGTGCTGTTTTTCGCGTCCTTTGGTTTTGCTGTGCAGGGCTGTTCATTTTCATGACCAAGAATATAACGATGACTGTTTCGCGTCATTCCTCATTGCGTTTCACACGTATTAGAATAAATCCATGCCACCCTGCCGTACGGAGCAAATGAACATTGATAGATTTAAAAATCAGACATCCGAAATGTTGACTGTATCTGAACATGTTTCCCCTGTTAAATTTACCTTCTCTCCTCGGACTATATTTTTTGAAACAGGTTGCAGTCGATACATGGCTTTTCTCGCCAGGTCTTTTATGCCGTAAAACCAAGAAGAAGACCGAAAAGACACTGGACAGCGTTTAAGATCGGTCATGCCACGAGGATCGCGCAAGAACATGAGGAGTAACATAAGATTACATAACTCGCAATCGAACATATGTATTAAGAACGATACTATGCTATGACTATGATACTAGTGTGCGAGGGGAAATACAGCGCAGTTTATTCTCTCTAGCCAGTACCATCGCACGAAAGCATCTTGTGGGTCTTGAAGCAGCCGGTTAATTAATGAGATAAGACTACCTAAGGTTGAAAATTCCCTCTGCGCCTATGACTCCGTTTTTAAACCCAATTTGCCGAGGTATTATGTCGCCTATTTTGTTAACCCATAGTGAGCTTTCTATTTTTCTGACATTTGTCCCCTACTTAAATTCAATATACCAACGTTTAGAGTTGACAGATATTTCTGCCTTTTCAGCTTAAGCATTCGTTAAATGCGTTGAATCAAATTAGTAAATATTTAATATGGTGGTTTTTTCGCCTATAATTGCACCGGTATTATGCATTTGCTTTCCGCAAACACAACGCCTATGATTAAAGTGACGTTTGGCAGGTCAAATACTTTGGAATGTGTACTCCTTAGCCTAGAAGATCTGTCATAGCCCTCTGAGAAAGGTCGATTATGGAGGCGATAATCTAAGTTTGACATGACTGTTTAGCAGTTGGGCTGCCTAAAAG